TGATCTCTCAAAATTTTGCGTTTCACTTTTTCATCACGGTTTATTCCTATTAACAAATACACGGCCACAGCGTAACTCATTTTTTACCACTTATCAAATATTGATATATTTAAACAGCAAATAATCCCAATTTCATTTTACTTGTACAAGTAAATTCACGTTTTTCATCCAACTTAACTGAACAGCTGATTCGAACATGGGTTTTGTTTATCTTCGAAAAAGCGAAATCCAATCAGATTCTGCGACACCATTTTAAATCAGAATCGATTTGGAAATCTGACAGAAAAGCAGTTATTAAATTCGTCTTCAATTGATTCTTATTTGATTTGTGAACTTGGCTGTCAACTTTTTCTTATTCCATTTTATTTTTATTTCTCTTCTTCTTTATTTCCGCTGTAACCGCCTAAGCGATTTTGGCCGAGTCCAAAACAGCACGCCAGTCATTTCTCTTCTGTGCTAACTGACGCCAATTGGAAATGCCAAGTGAAGCCAAGTCCTTCTCCACCTGGTATTTCCAACGCAGAGGAGGCCTTCCTCTGTTACCAGCATCGCGGCCCGCGTTGAATATTTTCAGAGCAGGAGCGTTTCTGTCCATTCGAACAACATGGCCAAGCCAGCGGAGCCGCTGAATTTTAATTCGCTGCACTATGTCTATATCGTTGTAAAGCTCATACAGCTCTTCGTTAAATCGTCTGCGATATTCGCCATCACCAACGCGTAAAGGTCCGTAAATCTTTCGTAGAATCAGATGCCTTCATTGTCCATGCTTCCGCGCCATAAACCAGCACAGGCATGATGAGTGACTTATAGAGTGTGATCTTTGTACGACGAGAGAGGACTTTACTTCTCAATTGCCTACTCAGCCCAAAGTAGCACTTTTTGGCAAGAGTGATTCTCTGTTGGATTTCAAGGCTGACATTATTATTGGTATTAATGCTGGTTCCCAAATAAACGAAGTCGTCTACTTTTTCAAACTTGTAACTGTCAACAGTGACGTGGGTTCCAAGACGCGTATGCTCTGACTGTTTGTGTGATGACAGGAGATACTTCGTTTTGTCCTCGTTCACCACCAGACCCATTCGCTTTGCTTCTCTATCCAATCCCGAGAAGGCAGAACAAGGGCTACGCCTTGTTTTTACCGATAATTTCGACGTCGTCGGCATACGCCAGCAATTGTACGCTCTTGTAAAGTATTGTGCCTGAGCGGTTCAGTTCTGCGGCTCTTATTATCTTCTCCAACATCAGATTAAAGAAATCACACGAAAGGGAGTCTTGTCTGAAAGGAAAGTCCTTGTCTGAAACCTATTCTGATGGAGCTGGTGGTATTGCTCAACGTCATTTTACACAACCGTATTAGTTTCGCGGGGATACCAAATTCAGACATCGCGGCATAAAGACAACTTCTCTTCGTGCATATAGATAGATAGATGGTGTGTGTCGATCCTATTCTCGGGGGTCTTTTCCAAGATTTGGCGTATTGTGAATACCTGATCTATGGTGGATTTTCCAGGCCTAAAGCCACACTGATAAGGTCCAATCAGCTCGTTGACGGTGGGCTTTAGTCTTTCGCACAATAAACTCGATCAGACCTTATAACCTATGCGGTAGTTGGCGCGTATGGTCGCCTTTCTTATGGATTGGGCAGAGCACACTTAAATTCCAGTCGTCGGGCATGCGTTCATCTGACCATATTCTGCACACGAGCTGATGCATGCACCTCATCAGCTCCTCGCCGCCGTAATTAAATAGCTCGGCTTGCAGGCCGTCAGCTCCAGCAGCTTTGTTGTTTTTCAGCCGCGTAATCGCTATTCGTACATCGTCATAGTCAGGCGGTGGGACTACTCCATCATCATCGACTGGGGACTCGGGTTCGTCTTCTTCACTACTTTAAGCGCTGCTACCATTCAGTAGGTTGTAAAAGTGTTCCCTCCACAATTTAAGTATATTCTGGACATCGGTCACTAGGTCGCCATTGTTGTTCTTACAGGAGTTCGCCCCGGTCTTGAAACCTTCCTTAAGTCGCCTAACCCTCTGGTAGGATTTTCGGGTGTTCTTCCTGTCGGCCAGCATCTCAAGCTCTTCGCACTCACGTATTTCGGCCTCTCTCTTCTTATTGCGGCAAATACGTCTCTCTTCCTTCTTCAGTTCCCTATAACGGTCCCACATGGTTCGCGTTGCGGCATCTTTTTTCTCTGCGGCTTCTTGACATTCCTCATCGTACCAGTTGTTCTTTCGGGCTCGCTGAAATCCAACTACTTCTTCGGCGGCGGTACTTAATGATCGGGAAATGTGGTTCCACTGCTCGCGTATGTCGGATTGTTGAAGAGTGCTCTCAGAGAGCAGGTGTGTGAGTCGAGTGGCGAATAAATTGGCCGTCAGTTGTGATTGCAGCTTTTCGACGTTAAGCTTTCCTTGCATTGTTGGGCGCACATTTTTTGCTGCATAGAGGCGGGTGCGTATCTTGGCTACAACAAGATAGTGGTCCGATTCGATGTTTGGCCCTCGGAGTGTACGTATGTACGTCCAAAACGTTTGAAGCATGCCTTCCGTCTACCACAACATGATTGATTTGGTTTCTCAAGCCATGCAGCTTGGTGGATGTTCTTATGCTGGAACCTAGTACTACATATTACCATGTTTCGGGCCCCGGCGAAGTCGATCAGCCTCAGTTCGTTATCGGGCGTTTCGTCGTGGAGGCTGAATTTTCCGACAGTGGCGCCAAAGATCCCTTCCTTGCCCACCTTGGCATTAAAATCGCCAAGCACGATTTTGACATCGTGTCGGGGCCAGTGCTCATATGTACGTTCCAAGCGCTCATAGAAGAGATCCTTGGACGCCTCATCTTTCTCTTCCGTCGGGGCATGGGCGCAGATGAGCGAGATGTTGAAGAATCTAGCTTTGATGCGGATTGTGGCTAGACGTTCGTCCACCGGGGTGAACGCCAGTACTCGGCGACGGAGCCTCTCTCCTACCACGAATCCAACACCGAATTTGCGCTCCTTTACGTGGCAACTGTAGTAGACGTCGCAAGACTTCACGCTTAGTTTTCCTTGCCCCGTCCATCGCATTTCTTGGATGGCGGTGATGTCAGCCTTTGTCTTCCCGAGGACATCAACCAGCCGCGCAGAGGCACCTTCCCCATTAAGGGTCCGGATATTCCAGGTGCATACCCTTAAATCATAGTCCTTTATACGTTTGCCGTGGTCGTGATCAGAAAAAGGGGGTCTCATCCGAGGCTGTTGTTTTTCTTTTCATTGGGCGGAGTTTTAACGTGGCGGGACCCAAACCCAGCGCACGCGAAGTTTTACGCCTTCTCACTTTAGCTCGCTCCCAAACGGGTGTTTGGTTACTACCCAGAGGATACGTGGATATAAATATCCGGACAACTATCACAAAATTTAAATAAATGTTGTTGTTTTCGAGCCCACAGAGGAGTATTAGCATAGTAAAACTGTTCAAAATTATTTGGTGTGTTTTTCTGCTAAGTAATAAAAGAAAACACGGAACTTAATGATAATAAGCCGTTTTATGAAAAAGAAATAAATAAAATTACACTTATCTAAGAAAAAGTAGAATAAAAACTAGCGATGCATCCAGTTTTTTAACAGACCTTTGACAAATAATATTCGATAACTACATAATTATTATCTTATTAAAGGTTATCTTTTAACGCGCAAATAGTCGCTTCACTTAATAGCCACATACATAGAAGTACCTATTGAAGGATCTTACTCTTTGACTTTAAAGTACAAAAGAAGGGGGACGTAGGGGACAATTTTAACGTAGCATCTCCACAGGAAAAAAATATTGGCTACAATTTGTCATTTTGTTTGCCAGATATACGTTTTATCAGTGCACTTGCACAATATTCGCATTCGCAAAAGATCCGCATTGATTATTGCTAATGCGAAAGCGAATGCGAATGTGTAAATGAATGCGGAAGCTCCGCGGTTGGGAATGGGAATGCGAATATTCGCAACAACCCTGCTCTGTACACACACCCATATATCGTCGCTTAAAGTACAAAACCGCGTATCGTCATTCTGCAAAACCGCGGAACTGACATTTGAATGGTCGCCTCAAATAACGTTGTAAGGGACAATTTGTTCAAAGCTAGTTTCCTTGATTTTAAAGATATTAATGTGTATATTTTTTTTTTTTAAAGGTAAGATTCTTGAAGAGTGCTATACCGAAAAAGTAGAAAACCAAATCAAATCCCCGTTTGGGCGTCTGTAAACAAGTTTTTTTTCTATTTTGTAAAATTATAATTTTGTCGCTTACAACGTTATTTGAGGCGACCATTCATTTGCTCATTTGACATAATGAAAACTAGCCTTAAGTCTCAAGGTCAGACCCTAGCAAGAGGATTGCTTTACGCATGACCAGCTATGTATACGTATTGAGTAGAGTATGATCTTGCCAAAATACCAAAGTTAAAGTTACGTACCAAAAGCAATGCATAGGGTTTTTAGAACAAAGACACATACAGATTTTTTTGACCATGGAGCACCCTGATTCTCGGGGATTATTACTAGTTGTAAGTATTTAACTTACTGCCGCGTCACTATAATCACTTTCGTCAGAGGAAATATCAATTTTTTAAGTAAAAATTGAATTAGAAGACCTTGCGTTCAATTGAATTTTTTGCAACCAAAACAAACGAATCAGCAAACAGTTGATAGGTTAAACTAGGTTAAACCCTGCCATATCGGCCGTTTATACTCAGTTTAAAGTTGACTGAAAAACTGCATACTGGGTTTAAACTTAGTTTAATCGACAAACAAAGTTAAACTCGCACTGAAAAACTGGCCCTGAAAGCTGATTAAGTCATCAACATTTTGATAAATTTTGGCTGTTTTTCTTTTGTTTATTTAATGTTTATTATTTTTCCATAAAAGCTCATTATATAACAAACGCCATATAAATCCACATTTCAAACTTTGTGCAAAAATTATAAAAAATCTGCAAAGTTTCAGCTAGTTGCTCGCACAGATAAAACTAAAGCATGAAGAGCTTTGTCGTATCATATGTTTTTAAATATGTAACTAAGCAGAATATACTGCAGTGCCGGAAGAACTAATGTATTTCTTCTATACAGGTTTCTCGGGAAAGAGGAGAGCAGTTGGCCGTAGAATATGGCATAAAGTTTATGGAAACTTCTGCAAAAGCCAGTATCAATGTGGAAGAAGCTTTTCTAACATTGGCTAGCGATATAAAATCAAAAATGGAAAAACGATTGGTAACCGTAATCCTACTTGAAATTATTATATTTTGTATATTTCATTTTTGATTTCAGGAAGCCAACAACCCACCAAAGGGAGGTCATCAATTAAAGTTTGCCGAAAATCGAAAAACAGAGACTTGGTTATCGAGATGTAATCTACTTTGACGCGTTCAAATAAATTTGCATACCATAGAAACAAACATAATTCTCAGATGTTTAAAAATTAAGTGGTTTTATAATTAAAAACTGAAAAAAAATAAAATAAAAATATAATTGAAAAAAATAAGGTTAAGGTTAGTCAGATCGTCAGTTACATTCAGACATCAAACATCAAAACCTCGAAAAATTTAACAGGGGATCCAGTAGGGTGGTGTCCTCTCACCTTCTGTTTAATTTTTATGTTTCGAAGTTTCCCCAATCACCAGAGGGAGCTTCAAACTATTTCATACGTCGCTCGATATTGGCGTCGGGCATTGGAATTGATGATCTGCAGCCGGATTCCAACATTCGCCATCGCTAATTTTGATCGCCAAAAGAAAACAAGGCCCGCCTATGAACATGCAACATCAACAGTATATTTTGCTTTGCTGCCTTTATGCTGAATGGCACATTTAAGATACCTACCACAAAATGCGCATCAGCGGCATTATTTTAAACATTTATAAGGAAACTGCTCCGATAAATGCATTCAACATACCTGCACATTAGCGATACCTGCCTTAAAAATTTGCAACTATTATAAATTATCAAAGAAAGTATTACGTTTACCTGCATTGGCTCTACTCTTACCCTAATTTTACAAGCTTTTATTAATTTTTCTCATCTCGCAGAGCAACGAAAACGGCTATAATGTTATGTAGTTATATATGTAGATAATTAGATACCATTCGGAAAAAATTTCGCTTGCAGTAATTTCTACGTGGTAAGTGCTTACTGGCGCTTTTGGTGTATTTTTTTACAGGTTTCCTGGCGAAGATCACCCAGTCGTAATTTTGTCATCAGCGAGCTATACGGAGCGTCTTACTTTAGCCAGGGCGTCGGCGGAAATTTTCAGGCCTGGACCATTATCTGGCGAGAAGTAGTGGCGTGCGTTTATTTAAAGTGCGGACTGACATTCGGCGTGTGAAAAGTGATAAGTAGTAGTGTATAAGTGTTAGGCCGGGAAAATTAAAACAGAATTAAAAGTACCGAAAATATTAAAGCGGTTCAGAGTAAGCTTCCAAGTGGTTGCGCGCATTTTGCCTTCATTTTCAAGCTTATAGAAGAAATATATTAAAAAATTCTTTGGTAACTTAACTTGGGCTGCTCCACTTTGTTTTTGGTGAAGTATACATACACAGAAACGTAAATTGTAACTTAGTTTATAAGCAAACATTGTAATTGCTTGTGCGTCTTATTTGGTAGTACATACGTGTTATTTTGTTTGGTTTTTTTTTTGTGGTTAGGCTCTATTGTTGTCTCGCGTGATAGGGTCATTTTGTTGTGCCAGTATAGGGCAGCTTACTACCAAGCAGTAAATTAAGGTGTAGGTATTAGGATACCAACCGGTCGCGAAGTGGCCTCAAGTGAGCCATAACTAGTCCTAGACTTAAAATTTATTTTAGGGCTCTTATTTTGCGGGTTTTCAATTTCGGTCGGCTTCTAGATTTTTTTTGCGGTTTTATTAATTTTCTGTTCTGTTTTCGAATCTTAATTGGTTTTTTTTTGTTGGGTTTGCTGGTTTATTTGGTTTCCTTTGGAATTTTTAAAGAGTTTTTTGCTTCCGGCGATTTTATTTTATTTCTCTATTTGTTTTGCCGGTTTTCGCGGATTTGTTTACTTTATTCGATATGGAAATGAATAGATTATCGCAAGAGGAGTTGGCGTATGAGATGGAGGCTCGGGGTCTCTCGGTTTCGTCGGTGGAGGCTATGCGGAAGTCGTTGCAGGCGTCTAGGCTTTTGGAGCGAAGAGGGTCGGTGGACCTCTTCCAGGACAACGACGCGGAAATGACCCAGCAGATGGAGATTAAGAGCAAGTTGATGCTTTGCTTAGCCGACCTGCAGGAGACAGGTGGAGAGAAGGACGGGCCGGAGCGTACGGAAGATCGGGCGCAGGGCGCGCGGACCGGTGGAGTCATTCGGGACTCTGAAGCCGGAAAACCTCTCGATGTGGGACGTGCGCTTCGACGGTGAAAAGTCGGGTCGGTCGGTTCACGCGTTCTTGGAAAGGGTAGAATCGTTGAGCGAGGCCCGCGGTGTGGCCCCAGCTCAACTTTTTCGAGGTGCGGTAGACTTGTTCTCCCGGAAGACGCTATTGTGGTTTAGCTCGGTTAGGCGGACGATGGGTAGTTGGGAGGAGCTGGTCAGGGAGCTGAAGTTGGAGTTCCTGCCCTCCAACTAGGACGACCTGTTAATGGACGCGTTTCGCCGGCGGACTCAGGAAGCGAATGAGTCCATCGGAGTGTATGTGACGGCGATGAAAATAATGTTTGGCAGATTACAGGAGGCGTTGTCTGAGAATAGGATGTTAGGAATAATTAGGGCGAATCGGCTTCCTTTTTGTCAGACCCAGGTGGGGATAGTTACCCCGGGTTCAGTGGCGAAACTAGTCGTGTTGGTTGGAAGTTGGAATCGGTTAGGTCGTCCGTCGAAGCTTTTATCCCCCACCGAGTCACAAGGCCAAGGGTCTATTAGAGCATGACATGACCTATGCCTCGGTGGATGTAGAGGTTGCAGCGGTGGTGGACCAAAGGGCAGCGAAGGGTTTAGGGCGGGGCCTAATACCCGTTGTTTTAACTGCAAGCGGTTTGGTCATGTTTCGGCAGATTGTAGAAAGGGGATAATGTGCTTCGGCTGTGGTAGGCCTGGGGCCATGAAGCGGGACTGCCCGGTGTGTGAATAGTAGGGCGAATAGATGGTCGAATTCGAAGTCGAATGTTAGGTCGGAAAATAAGTCAGGAAACAGGAGGTAGACCCCTGGGACAGCAGGTCGGGTGGTCTTATAGGGCGAGTTAGTTATCATGCTAACTCCCAGCTGGCTAAAGTAGGTTTCGGTGAGTCGAATGTTCGGTTAGCATATTCCTTGGTAGCGGATGGCTTCGATAAGCGTCCGTATTTAGACATAAAAATTTGTGGGTCAACTTTTCGAGCGTTGTTAGATTCTGGAGCGACGAGGACGGTGATTGGTCAATTCGGTTGGAGTATTTTGAGTTCTTGAGGCATTAGGGCATATTCTTTACCCAACTCTTTAAAAGTAACTTTGGCGAATGGAGGCCATATTTCGGTTTTAGGTTCGGTTTCGTTGCCGATCGAGGTGGAAGTCAAGTCGGTCCTTCTGGAGTGCCTCGTAGTTCCCGGTTTGCCTCAGTCTTATCCTTGGTGTCGATTTTTGGACCAAGGCGGGTATCATCCCGGATTTGATGAAGATGAGGTGGAGCTTTTCTCAACCGGAACAGGAGTCGTTGGCGGCAATAGTGCACCACTCCCAGCTAGGCAGTAGATAGGCTAGGGCCTTAGAGGAGCTAGTGGCCCAAGCGTTCAAGGCTATGCCAGAAAGGTTTGGTCGAACCCACCTTGTCGAGCATAGGATTAGGGTCAAGGCAGGAGTCAAACCTGTCAAACAACGTTATTACCCCGTGTCTCCCGTCATACAATCGCGTATAGACGAGGAATTAAAAGACATGCTCGCCACGGGTGTCATTGAGAAGTCGCATAGTCCTTGGGCGTCCCCTGTAGTGATGATTAACCCCAAATTGAAAATGGCTTACTTCAAAATGCTTATATGTACGTTAACTAATTCCTAAAAGGTTTGTCTTTCGAAATGCTTACGCTTCCGTCAGATCCTTGCTGTCAAACGAGTGTATTGCAAGTGTGTTCTTTAAACAAAATTAGAAGTGACAAAAAACCATCAAAATGTCATAAGAAGTAAGCATGAATTTATAGAAAGCGTTTTTTTATTTACAAAATATAATAGTGACAAAATATTAGTTGTGTTGCCATATGGCAACGCAAAATACCATCAGGCATGAGGCGGTGTAAACAAAAATCGTTTGTACATATGTATTTTTGCAGTTTTGCAGGTGGTTAACTCATTCCATCTATATTTCATTGTACATGTGTTGAAGTGGTATACAAATGTAGTTTGTCTGTTCCAGGGAAAACTGGTGGCGTTTTTTGCATTCTCATCTGCTACTTCATTATCCTAGATTCCCTTGTGACCGGGCACCCCATAGATATGTAGCCTTTTATCAGCGTCTAGCTTGTCAATGGCTTCCCGGCTGCGAGGGACGTTTATGGATGAAATACTATATCAAGAAACTGCCTTGATTGCCGCCTGGAATAGGTTTAAGTTTGAATTAATTGTCGTTTCGGTGAGGGCTAGCTCTGTAGTTATCCTCATTGCGAAAACCTCTGCTTGAAATATGCTGCAATGTTCAGTTCCCGGGAATCACTCCCGTAACCATTTTAGTGCCGACCGTGAAAATGTTTAGGGATCTATGGCTAGGTTTCATTTCCATTCCTCTTCCTCAATCATTGTGTAAAAAGTTCGTTTCCACTTAAAGCTAGGTGCCATCAAGCATGTGTTGCTTGTGTTTCCCGCACTAATTAAGTGGTGCCCAAAGGTTCTGAAATTTAATTTCCCTATGATCGACAATCTACGTGCGGATTTCGCAGCAGGGTTTTTAAAGAGCAGCCGTCGAAGTGGAGCTCAGCGCTCCCGCGATTTACAGTGCCGCTAGGCGCTGTACCTTCTCCATTGGCCCGAGGCATAAGGTTTTTTGTGCGGCGTTCCAGCACACCAAAGCGTCATAGAGCAGTATTGGGCTGACTATTGCTGTGTAGCACCAATGCATCAGAGCAGGTGACAAACCCCACCGGACCCAGATTTATATCTGGCCAAGGACTGTCACTCCAGCAACACTCCCCAAAAACCCTTTGCTGCTACAACAACAACAACAACAAACCCCAAGTGACTCTCCGCATTCTTTTACATGCATAAAGGGCGTTACTGGCTTTCTTCTCTATTTCCTCAACATTGCGCATCCACAGCAGCTTACTCTACAAGACTGCTCCCAAATACTTTCTGTGGTGATGTAATGTGGAACGATTTTCCGTCATCCCGTGTCAAATTTGGTTTGGAGACAAACCGGTTTCGGCGTTGTGCCATCTTCAGTGTCATTTCTCGTTGTCTCTTTAGTTGACAGGTCGATGCTAAATACCTAGC